TATACAAGTTTTTTCTACTTGGTGGGTGAAAAGTTCACTTTAGCCTGTGCGTGGTGCCAGAGCAGGCCATGTTTTTATTCCTCCCCACTCAAAGATAGAAAAAAAAAAAAAAAACATGGATTAACTCTTGTGAGCAAGGAAGTGTTCAGCCTTTTTCAGAATGATCATTTGTTTTGTGAAGTTTACTCTCAAGAACCTTAGTGTGGGACCTTTGTATTTATGCCAGTTGGTGGTGTATAAACCGAAAGATGGCCAGACAAGGAGTCCAAGTGTGTAGGATTTGTCATATAGAAACAAATGTTGATAAATGCCACAAGAAGGCAAAAACCCAAGAATAGGTGCAGCAGAGCAGGTGTTATAATCTAGAACAAAAATGCTGGAATAACCGACTGACATCTCCAACCTTAGTGTCTTAAAACACTTTCATAGATATCCAGTTACTTTCTCAGCAATGGCTGTTAAGTTACTGCTGAACTACTATCACACACACACACGCACGCACGCACGCACGCACGCGCGCGCGCACACACACACACACACACACACACACACACACTGGGTCTGCGCTGAGGGCTGGAACAGTAATCTACATGTATAGGATGTGACAGAGAAACGTTCCACTTTCCTTCACAGCAACAGCTGATCATATGACCATCAATAGGAAATCAGACCTTCAGTCAGAGCCTGCTGCGCTAAACTTCATTTTATTTATTCAGCTTCCAATCAAAACAAAGGTCAGCTGAGAGCGCTTTATATGTCAAAGTAAAAACCCTGTAATATTACAGAGAAACTCCAACATGTCAGAAGGCTGTAGGTGTTGCATACCATGCGAGAGTCAGAGGAGTCATGAAGACAGACAAAGTTGAACTCTTATTGAGTGAATGCAGGAAATCCCAAAGGTAAATCATAAAGTCCAAAAACAGAGGAAACGCTAGCAGAACACTGGGGTAAGGGGAACAAATGTTCTGTTGAAGGACAGTGACAGGAGGGTAACCAAGTGGAGACAGCTGTGCAGATGGAGACACAGCTGAACCAAATCACAGAGGACTAAAATCAAAGCACGAGGAACACTAACTCTCAAAGCAAAAGAGAAGTGAGCTCACTAAATGAGGACGACACAGATACATTAATGACCAAATACAATAATAATATGCAAAGCAAGGCAACCAGGAATCAAAACAAAATATTTCTACAAACCAAAACTCTAAAAAACGCTGGATAATCTGACACAACCATGAGACAAGAGCAGGCGAGCAACTGTCTTAGCAACAGTGCGAAAGAAAAACTTGTAACAGGAAGAAACCTCCGGCATAACCAGGCTCAGGGAGGGGCAACCACATGTGGAAAAATCAGTTTTGCTTCCTATCATCTGATCTGGACCAGTGTGTGCAGATCAAACTCCACCTCACCACTTTGATAGCGCCAAACGTACTGATCCAGCCCATAATAATAGCTGTGTGTTTACTACAGAGGCTCCAGTCCGGCCCGACAATGTCTTCCAGTCCTCTTCCTCACCATCGTCACCAACACTTACAGACCCCGACCCCCCATCGCCTCCTCGAAACCATATCACAGTGGCGAAGAAACAGCAGTGGGCGCGTCAGGGCTCTGCAGCTCCACCCACCTTCTTGACCTCAAGCTCCACCATCACACTCTCAGACCAGGAGAGACCCACAGGGATATCTCAGGATGCATCTGGGCAGGCCTTGAGCCATAGGCTGGTGCAAGACAAGGTAATAGCACACTATCTATATGATCGAGCCTTCACACTGCCATTCTCCTTTGTCCCTTCTTTTGCTAATAATCAGACCTTTACTGCTGCTTCAGTTTTTGTTCTGTCCGCTTTGTTCTTGTCCTGCTAATAATTGGGCTTTATCTTCCTAGTAATCTTTAGTCTTTCTACTTCCACTGCTAATCCTTAATCATTGTTCTTCTCCTGGTAATCCTTAGTCTTTGTCCTCCTGGTAGTTCTCTATCTATGTTCTCCTCCTAGTATTCCTCCAGCTACGATGTCCATGGTGGTTGGGTCCCTTGTTCTTGTTCTGCTGCTGCTTATTGAACCCTTTCCTATGTCTCAATTCAGGTGCCTTCATTAATACGTTCCCACGTATTAAAACAATACAGTGCATGCACTTATTTGTGTTAGGCATGGATTTTTAACAGGGAAAACAGAGGAATATGTGCACTTCCCAGAAATAACAGTTGCAAGGTTGTTGGACAGAGATTGTGCTGCTGGTAGATGGACACCTCCTCCTGGATCTGATGGTGGTTTGACTCCTCACTCTATCCCTTCTCTCCCTTCAGTGATGTGTCCACTCGTTATTGTCATGGTTTGCAGATGCAGCAGTGTGCTGACAGGATGTGCACCAGTCTGGCCTGGGATAAGACCAGTGCGTCCTGTGTTAGCACAACAATGCAACAGGAATCCTACTACCCAGCAGGGGACCCCGCTGAATCTCCCTCCACCTCCGTCAGTGCCAAGCTGTCTGGCCAGCGCGCCTACCTGCAGAGCCTGGATCGTAGCAGCCGAGCCTGGGTGCTTTCTTCAGGAAAGACTGCAGATGAAGTGTGCGACCCTCAGGAGGACAGTGGCAGCAACATCTGGTACAACCCGATCCCCGAGGAGGAGGACTTAGGAGGTCTATGCCGGGACGAGGATGTATGGAAGCGGAGGGCAAAAAAAGATGAGCCTAGTGCTGGAACAGACATTGGCAGAGGTTGTAGCAGTGCCAGTCCACTGGAGGACTTTCAGTGCTCCAGCCTCCCCAATCCAAGTGTCAGTCACCATATTGATGACATCAAAGCAGAAAATACAGGTAAGACTTCCTGTTTCACCTGCTGTCACCACATTGCTCAGGTTTTGTCTTCATTGGCGTTCTTCATCTCACCCTGCTTCAGACTCTCCTCCAGACTCTAGTCCCGCCTCCCAAAAGAAAGGGGGTGTGTCAGGAAGTATGATTGACAGGTTGAGGTCTCCTGGTACGGTAAGAAAACTCTCTCTAAAGATGAAGAAACTTCCCGAGCTGCGCCGGAAACTCAGTCTCCGCTCATCTTCTCGGGCCCATCGGCAAACAAATGACAATAGAGGAAGCGGAGAGGAGTCGGCTGGTAAGAGCACGGCATCATTATTGGCGCTCTCCAACCAGAACGTGATCAGCAAGTATCATCTGGACAGCTCCACCTCTCCAGCCCGACCACAGCGACGGTCATCAAGAGGATGCTCAGCCAGTAAAGGAGGTAAACCGCTCGTGGGGGAGAAGAGGTTAGCTCAGATGTAGAGCAGGAACTTTCATGGCTCTGGGCAGGATTCAGGAGTAAACCGATAGTGAGAATGAGTACACAGTAAATACAAAGCGTCTGTGACTGTATTTCACAGAAATCTGTGTATCTTCCTGATATTTCTGACCTTGCCAGAACCACATTAAGGTCATGGATTCCATCTTCATCCATTTTCAATAAAGCGTGGGGAGTCTCAGCCTCTAAGTGAAATCCAGTGAAAAACTACTATAATAGAACATGTGTGTCTTCCTGTCAGGGTATCTTAGTGACGGGGACTCCCCTGAACTACTGCCACGACAGCAGCCCTCTCAACACGTGATCACCCAGGATGGGCCCTGTGACGTCAGCTCATTCCAGCTGTACGTGGGCTCCGACCCGCCGAGATGCAGCCAACGGGTGACGGGTTTACTGACTGTCCACTTGCTGGGGCTGGAGGAGATGAAGACCAGCAGGTATAAACATACCTTCAAGCCTTTAATTCACTTCAACACAGAATCTGAACACAGCAGCATCCAGTGGACATTAAGAGAACTGCAGGTCAACAGTCTAAAGCTCAGACTGGCTGTTTTACCAGCAGCTAATTCATGACTGTATAGGGTATAAATCGTCTGAGTACAGGTCTGATATAAAACATTCTTCTAACCTGGATCTCTGGTATCTGACCAACAATATGTCTGCTGGGGTTACCAGCAGACCATACAAGAAGTCTGAGCTCCAGTTTTAGGAATTTACTTGGATGTTACTGAGTACTAATTAGCAGGTCGTCTGTGTCTATGTGATACACCGGACAGACCTGTACAGTCTAACAAACTAATCCACCCTCTTGGTCACTTCTGGCTCCACTGACAACATTTTTCTGTGAATGTTGTGTTCAAGGGGGCCCCCTGTTGGAGGGTTAGGTTCAGATTTGGAGCAGTCATTCTCTGTCTCTCTGGATGTTCGGTCTCAGGTCAGAGGGCAGTAAGGAAGTCTTCCTGGTGATACAGATTGATGGGGCGACGAGAGCGAGGACTGCCCTCCTGATGCTGCGAGGCTCGGCCCTCCCCTTAAACCACACTTTCCACCTGGAGCTAGAGCGAGCCAGGCAGCTCCGCATAGTGGTATTAACACCAGGTAATACAACAAAGCCGCATTCAGGCAGGACCAATGTTCCCTCTAATGTTTCACGTGTCTGAGCGAATGCACAAACTCCCTGAGCGTCCCTTGGACCACTGTGAGCAACAGCAGACGTGTGCACTGTGGTCACGCCAGCATCGAATAAGTTACATGTTTATTAAAGTAATCAAATTACAGCATTTATGTTAGACTACTTTTAATTAACTGCTTTAGCCCCCTTACAATAAAAATTTAAAAAAAATCTTGTCCATGTGCAGCATGTTAACACTATTGGAAGGAAAAATAACTTGAACTCCAATTTTGAAAACACAACTTTCTATTTTTATTTGATCACGACCC